GAATATAATTTGTCTGCTTGGGTATATTTAAAATATTGTATATTTTTATTTTCTCTGATGATAGTAAAAAACGGTTTTTTCTTTCAGCCTTGAAAGTTATTTATTCGAATGTATTTTGTCTTGAGCATTCGATTTCGATAATGTATTATTATTTTAAAATTTAATACATTCATAAGATTTTTATGTAAAAATAGTCTCACAAATGTTAAAATAAGATTTGTTTTCTGTGGTTAAACTAATGTACACTTTTGGAACTTGAAGTGAGATAGATATATGTTTGATATTTGTTGATAGTAAGAAAGAAAGTACTAGTGCAGTCTAGTGCAGGAAACAGATCAATAGTATAATGACTATAAGTGTCAATAAAGTTTACCGTTCATAATTATTTGAACACTATTTTATATTGCACTTCAATTTCCAATGTTAAATAAATTCCATACTGTTATTAACACAAATACTTTATTAGAATAATTGATGCCGTTTTTGTATATGGATTCTAATTATACACATTCTAAATTGAAATTAGTAAGACAATATTCACCGAACTATCTGTAATTTAAAACGAGACTCAAATTACAGAGAAGTCTATACATCATTCTCTTCTACAAAATCTTCAAGATGCATGATGAGATTATTATATCTCCGACATACATTGCACGCAGACGTCACGCCACAGACTAAGGTTTATTTTTAAGCTAATTTAAAAAAAGCATTATTATCAACTCATTAGCTATTGCAATTAATATATTTCTCAGTATAAAATTATAAAGACAAAAAAAAAGTTAAATAACAAGTCGAAATAATAAAGGTATAAAACATTTTGATGAATAAATATAAAAAAAAACTAATTTCTATATCCTTTCTATGTATTTAACATGAATTTATATTCGTTTTTTTTACTTTATTCTTTTCTTTCAAAGTTAAAAATATCTAGTTGTTTTCTAGGAATTAGCAACTTAAACAGATAATTTACGTTTACAAAATGTTTAATTATTTAAACATTTTAAACATTTTTATGTGAGACAATTTAATAGATTATTAAATATACATATATTTAATTTTAATAGATACATTTGTAGGTATATTAACTATAATACGTATATTTATTTAATGTGAATTTAATGTTTTTATCACGTTTTAATTAAACGTTTTAATTTTTTAAATGTAAATTGTCTGCTTGAATTGCTAAATCTTTGGAAAAACCTTAGGCTATATGTATATTAAATGTTACTATCAAAAAAAATGAAATGTATATTTCAAATAGACTATCTGATAAAAATTTATTATGCATGAATATGTATAAATATGCATAAATATACATAAATATGTATGTTTTTATAACGGTTATTAAATAATTACAAAACGTATTAAATTTTAAATGTTTATTTTTCTTTTTATACGTTTATTATATAATTTCTAATTTATTAAATATTTTTAAAATAATGTAACTGTATTGCTTGAATAATCAGTATAATGAAAAGAATAAACAAGTTTTTAATTATAATAATTATAATAAATGCCAAATTAATATCGCTAAATTTTAATTTACATTTTACATATTTACAGAATAAAATATGATTTTTTTATATTGATAATAATAAAATTTCACATAAACTCGAAAATTTGAAGAAGATTAATATTAATCTTTAATCGATTATGTTTCGTAAATAGAAGATAGAAACTGCATATATTTACCAGGGGTAAATTTAACTCCGAACCAAACTGACATAGGCATGCAGCCGTGATGGATGACATGGAGAGTGGTAATGTGGTCGTTCTTTTTTCTCAACACAAAGAAAATTGTGTCCGTGAACTCCATGAACTTTGAGATGTAATACCACCAGCAACCTCGTGCCATTCGCAGTGCAATCGGGTCGTTTGAATAATCAACTGGTTGACACCTGAAGGAATATCGTCCTCCCCAGCCTGTGATCATACTCTGCGCATATGAAAGAAAACATAATAAAATATCTTGATAAGTTGTTTTTGCATGAATAAACTTGCTGGGCAACTTACTTCTTTGAACAACCATGTGGAGAATATTACTTGAAAGAGATTGTACCATATCATCACTCTTCTGAGATTAAAAGGTTTTCGATTTTCCATCATTTTTGGTCCCAAAACTTTAACGAAATAAGCGTAGAACAAGCAGATCGCTAATGTGGAGAAAGGGCCGCTCATCATCGGCCAATCATTGACTCTCGGATCGCTTTTGTTGATCATCAGATCTTGATAACCATCGTAAATCATTTGAATTAATTGCGCCATCTAAAATCAAAGTAGTATTTTTGTCACTGTTATGTTAGTTCAATCTTATTACAGCAAAGTTATTTGTAATTATGATATAATACGCTTTATGTCATTCTATCTAGTTACAAAATTAATGATATTTTATACTAAAGAAAAACAGTGTTGTTACAGTTCAATTGACATTATTATATAAGAAACTATGGTCGATTATTATAAATATCGTTCGAGATAAACGACTGTATTTATTGCTTGAGCAACGCGATTTAAGTGTATGGTTTAAATAACACGCAATGCATGTTGCAAAACTAGGAAATATACAAACATTAGAGTACATTTTTTTATATTACATAGTTGATGGTCGTCGATGAGTTGTTTTGTTAAATGTGATGTTTACTATAGATAATTAAAACAGATCTAAAATGTTTCGAATATCAAATTTTAGAAGAACTTGTAGTCGAATAATTAAAATAAGAATTTAAATATGAGAAATGCGCTATATGTTATTTTAAATTACAAATTTTGTAAATTGTATTAAATCAAAAAAAGAAAGAAAGAGAAAGAGTATCTACGTGCCCGCAAAGATTTAAATTAAATTTTAGTTTTAAATTTTTTATTTATGATACACACTTAATGATATAAAAAGAAAAGTAAGAATTCGCTCGTGTTACGCAAAGCAAACTGTACAAAAATTCAGTCAATAATCGAGCTCATAAAAAGATATAGAAATAAATTTATAATCAGTACATTTATTAAAATCTAACAGTACGTTTTGTGACACAGGTTCTTCTTCAACAAATATTAAAAATATAAAATGTATAAAGACTATAAGAAATGTACAAAGTTTATCTTAACATGATTATATAAATATAATTAAATCAAATGTAATGATGAAATTCTTGAAGGTTTTGTTTCATGCTTTGAAGAACAATAATACAAATTGAAAAATTAATGTCAAAATTAATTGATATTAAAAAATATCAATTTGATATGAATAACCTTTGAAAGATAGATATTTGGTGAAAGAGAAATTTTTTAAATCAGTTGCGTTTGAAATATTTGATCGAAATTCTGATAAAATTAGTTGTTCTTTTTTATCCATAATATAGAAAGAACAATAAATTGAAGCCTTACAATACAAATTAATTACACACTGTTATGATTTTTCTTTGGTAAATGTTATTCCTTCGAGATATGTTGCGAAACGCGCAATGAAAATGGATTGTGCACCTTGATGTATTCTCGATTTGAATCACGATGCGACTTGATCGCACGCTCTGTCTGTGGAAGTTTCAAAGATTTATGGATATTGTCACATTCCTCCTCGGAAGATTAAACCATTAATCCTTTCACTGATCAAAATAGATCGGAAAAGCACCAGAGATTTTTTCATTTGGAAACCCGTCTTTGTAGCTTTCCGCTGCTCTCCCCTCTTATCCTCGTAATCTTAACCAGTAGCGAATAAAGATCTTATTTTTCAGCCTTGAGAAAATGCTGACGTCAAAGACAGCGTTGTGACAATTTTATTCGACTTATAATTCGTTGCGGTAGTTGGGAGATAAATTTATAATAAACATGACTCTTTTATTTAAGCGATCCAGAAGCATGCATAAATTATAGTACATGTAGAAGATTCTATCATTTTTGTAAAAAATTTTCTGCCATAGAACGAAAAAAAAATCTATTTTCATGGGAAAGAAAATAAGAAATGCAAAAATAATTTATGGAAGTTGAGGATGCTTCATTATATTCATTTTTGGTTATAATAAGAATTGCTATCGTTTCGATGATCATTATTTTATAGCATAGTATTTCAAAATGATTATTGTGAATAATATTATCTAATTATGCACATGCTCTGTGAATATGTAAACGATTCTATCTCAATGTTATATAATGTTCACCGGACATTTTGATGCATTAAATATGTCAATATTTGACTTTCGTTTCTATGACATAAAAGCCTACATTAAACATATAATGATTCTGCAAAACAATATTATGAAAAGTACTGATTGGCTATTTACATTATAGTAATATTTTTCAAGATATGTTAAATAAGTATTCTGCTAATTATAAATTCTTTGAACAAACTTGAATAGATTTCTTTTGGATAAAAATATTAAGACATCAATAATCTTAGCGATGATAAAGACTTTTTTTAAGTTTGAAGATAACACAATTGAACACACACATAAATGATATTTAATTATCAGGTTTTTAATCATAGTAATGTTATTAAAAAAAATGAAAAATTATAATACAGTAATATTTTTATTGATATTCCCAAAAAGAAATCAGTTTCGAAAATAAGAAACAGAGAGAGAGAGAGAGAGAGAGAGAGAGAGAGAGAGAGAGAGAGAGAGAGAGAGAGA